TTATAGTTGACATGTTTCAGATAATGTTTGATATGCCCAAGAAATTAATACAACAAAAAGATCAATCTTATTATGGGTATATCGCCAGGTCGTTAAATTCCAGTTGCGATAATATAATGGAGCTTAAATTATTAAAAAGATCTCTCCTTTTTTTTTGTCTAGTGTTAGTTATCTCGAAAATAACTTTCAGTTTAATAGCAACAAATATGAATACCTATAACTTACGATTCTTTTTTCCACAATTTACTGATTATTGTAAAAGAGTTTTGCATACAAAACATAGTGTTAGATACTCTTTTTAGCGAATTCTTAGGCTTTAAAAGTTTTTGCGTATTTGAAAAATTTAATTTCAGCAATGAGGAAATATGGATGAAGTCCATGATGAATAGTGGTACCTTTCCACAGTTTGAAATAATCTTACCTATTACAATATCCGACAGATGCCGTCCGCACGGATCTAATCCGATTCGTACTGTCATAACAAGCGAGGAGTGTGAAGGATTAGATTCTTGCGAATGTAATCCGTGGGATACATGTCTATTCCGGTGCGCAGGATGTCATTCGCCTGAATGTAATCCTTAAAACTCGCTTGTTATGATAGTGCAAATCGGACTAGATCCGTGCGGATGACACACACTTAAACGAAGCAACTGAGGGTATTAAGTTTGCTTCCTGGCGCAAAGAGAGAAACCTGCTTCTAATTAAAATTTTTTAATGTGAATTTCAAATTAAAAGTAATTTTTAAATGAAATGTATAGAATTCTTTGACTACTTAAACACTGAAGATGGAAATGATCTCATTATTGGTATGCAAAAATGTCAATTTCACGAAAGCAATTTAAGTGAAAAATGATTTTAGTTTTTTGAATTTTATATGGAAATTTACAAGAAATAAAAATCATTTTCCATTTAAATGGTTCGTGAAAACGGCTGTTACATTCATAATTTTGCTTTGAATAAAAATGTACTGAAAAGTACCGATTTTTTTTAGCATCAAAAAGTCTAACGGACCCCTTTTTCGTGCATAAAAAATCTGGCAACCCAATGCTGAGTCGATACTTTTAAGTAATGATCGATACTAGGTACCGATTTCAAAATTATCCAATACATTTTCCGTCACCACAATGCAGGAAACTCTTTCTAATTTGAAACTTTTTTTTTTCTAGATGAATCGGACGATATTATCTTTGTTGGCCTGCAAGACCCCTTCATCCGTCAAAGAATTTTTCATGAATTTTAGATCTACGAAGGTGGAAACTGATCAAATGGTATTTTACTGTTGCGATAAGGAAAAAGGCGACGAGACTGTTGTTTGCGATGGCAATACCTTCGACACGTGGTTTCCTCATTGTTCAGTACAAATTGTTTTACTTTTGGGAAAGCTTCGTCTTATGCGTACTAATTGTGAAGTATATTCATAGACGAAATAAATTCGATGCACTTTTTTTTTATAAATATTCTGCTGAAAATTATGTCAAAAAGCTTCAACTAATTTTAATGTATGTCAGGTTCTGCTATTCACTTCAGATTGAAATTCACTCGAAAGTTAATTGCACAACCTGCCAGATTATAAAGATCTTCTAATGTATGTATAGAATCGGAAAGGAAGTATTGGGTACTGAAATCTTTCTGAAGTATTGGGCACCGGCAATTCAGCACATCACCATTTGCCAGTGACTGTTGCTAGCGGGGAGCGAAGTTTTTCGAAATTGAACTTTGAAATGAAACTTTTTGTAATTGATATTTGAAGATTTTGATTATAGCAAAAATTCATAAATTTCGACCGAAAGACCGAGGTGATACACATTATTGTCAAAGGGCGCCTCGTTCCATTTACGTCCCGGGCGTCGTTGCTTCTAAAGCCGGCCTGCATGTACATATGTATGCAAACGGGTGTGCAGATTACACACATACATATATATATGTAGGTATGTAAGCTTTTATATATGTATACATTTTTTATCGGAGACAAAAGTATCAAGTAACAAATGATTTCAGCCGGCTCAAGGTTTGGAAATTTTTCAGAATTGTGTCACGACAAACACATTTCACCAATGTTATGTAAAAGTATTATACATATGCAAGCAACTATGTCTGTAGATATATTACATCAATTAGATACATAATTGTTTGCTTTATACATATTTTTTTATAAGATATCATATTTCCATGCATTAGGGCTATTGATACACCTTCCAATATAAATGCATACGTACATATATATGTACGTGTTACTGCAATCATGTTCCGTCTATTTGGCAAAGTGATAAAGTAGAAAGTCAATTCTCAAGGCTACCAAAAGGGGACATACCATGCCCAAGGGTGCCATATGCCAATTAGTCTTTCGCCTTTCATACTGCAACATTTCGAGACGTTAGTGGATACGCATATTCGTGCAAAGCTGGACATACTTATCTATTTGCATTACTAGAAAGAAATGATTTATGTTTTGAATGTGCGTAACTATAAAAACCCTTCAAATTTCAGTGGCAGCACTACTGACACTTTTACAAAATTACTTCGATTAAATTAGAGTCATCTCATATTCGAATACTGGAAATATTTGAATTACAGTGGCAGCACCAAGGGCTGCACTTTTAAAACAACTTTCGAATTTTTGCGATAAATTTTGAATTCTACCCTCTCACATTTTAATACTGGCCATCTGGTAATTTTTGGTAAGGTCCATAAATCGTTTTGATTATTCCGGCAAAAAAAAAAGTCGCGTGCTTTTTACCAGACCCATCTACCGACATGTATTTCGACACCTACCGACATATATTTCGACGTACAGTAAATAATGAAAAACCGAAAAATAGCAAAAAAATTAACAATTTTCGCAATTTACTCGAAATTTTGTACGAGTCAAACGAACGGTTAAAAGCACCCGCCACTCGTTTTGTGTGCCAGTGCTATTATTCCGTGAGTCGCAGGTCCAAGTATCGGCACATTCCGAACGAAAAATTACACTGAAAATGGCACAACGCCGAAACCGGTTTGCCTCCAAACCAAATTTGACAAGGGATGATGGAAAATCGTTCCACATTACATTCTTGATAAATAATCAAAAATTGACAAATTATGAAAATATTGTATTTATCAAGTGCACAGAACCGGGCTGTAAGTATATACATATTTGTTATGAAATATAGCAGTGTTATTCCGTATATTTTTTCTCACTGAAGAAGTGAAGATTTTGGTAGTGAAGATTTGGTAACTTTTCTTAAGAGATTTTGGTAGAAAAAAATGTTGGCGAGTGGCAACCCTGATTCTCACACGTGTAACAAGTATGTTTGAGAGTTTTCTTACACTCTCACTCATATTCTCAGCTCTCATATGCTACATGTTGAGAATTTTTATGCTCAGCTGTACGCAGTGTGAGATGCCTAATAACGCAAGAACAGGGTTGCGTGATCTTGAATTAGTTAAATCACAAGTCCATAAATCAAATTTATTTCTGAAATGAAAGCTGCGTCAAATCCTAAATAAATTTCATTTGTGATTTGATTCTTCGACCAAATAAGAAATCAAATTTATTTGTGATTCGATTCATCACGTAAATAAGAAATCAAATTTATTTGTGGTTTGATTTGTAGAGCGAATCAATTTGTGATTTTTCAACTAAACAATGTTTTTTTTTTATGCAACGCAAATACGATATTCAAGTATCTTCCAACTTCCAGTTCAACGAACATATTCGGGGTTATCGGTACCATTTCGGAATTTTCTTCGGTTTTTTCAGGATTTTCGGGACTAGTTCGGGATCTTTGAGACTATTACGGGTTTTTTGAGGATTAGGGATTCTGGGGGCTATATCGGGATTTTTGGGACTATTTTAGGGTTTATGAAACTACCTCGAGATTTCGGGAATTCACGGCACTGTATCGGGATTTTCAAGGAAATTTTTGGGATTTTCGGGGCTAATTCGAGATTTTTGGGACTACTTCGGGTTTTTCGAGATTTTCCGATATTCCCGGGACTACATCGGGCTCAAGTACAATGGGTAATTCCGACTGAAAATTGGTCTCTGGTTTTCCGGCCTACCAAAATACTATATGTCTAGTAGGGTGGTCGTTAACATATGAAAATCTGCTTATTATATGATACCTTTCTTTCAAAAGAATCTTTTGGTACCCTTATTTGAAAATTTCTTGAACACGCGGACAGGATATTAGGGTGGTCCTTACAAATATCAAAATCTAAATTTTTTATGCGACACCCCTTTAGTCTGTTCTATGTAGAAAATAAAGACTTTCAAGAAACTCCCAAAATTTTATAAAAATGTTTTTGGTAGGTGTGAAAAAATTTAAATCTGATAATTTCGACATATCATAATTGAAATATAAAGATCCATAGATTGTCATTTGTTAATTTTTTTTTTCAGAATAAGTGCAAAAATTTTATTTTTTTTTAATTTTTGTATTTTTTAAATTTTTTTCATGACAACAAAAAAATAATTCAAAATATAAAATTTTCGTGAATGCCTTTTTTTATGCATAGTAAAAAGTAAAGGGGTATCCCATTAAAATTTTAGAGGTCGATATTTTAAGGACCACCCTTATTTCTAGTCCATTTTTGGCAGAAGATTTCCGAACAATGGTATCAAAAGAAACGTGCCCTATGAAGTATGGATGCAGATTTACAAATACGTTTTTCATTGAGGTTGCCACCAATCTTTTCAGTTAAAATATCGTGTAAGCTTTGAAAAATATGTAAAAATTTCCAAGTGAGTTAGACGGTTAAAGTTTTCTTGGTGGTGGTAGCCAGACAAGCCCATTGTGATACTCGGTATATCTAGGACACGTTGACGTTTAAAAAATCGCTAAACATTTCCAACTAAGACAACTCATATACAAAATTTAATTAAGCGACTAGTATTTCATTAGCAACTTCAGTCGTACATCTGAAGCCTGTGATGCTCGCAATTGTTCTACATTTTCGTTCTTTCCCTCACTTTCCTTACTTGCTTTTGTTTTTGCTTTTACTTTATATGTACTTACCATCACCCGGATCGTAGACCGCGGCACGTCCATTCATCTCATTCACCAGCTGACGCGGCGGTTGAAAGGCAACACTTCCGGATACATCATTCAAATAATGCGTCGCCGTTCTGTCAGGATATGTACCGGCCATTAATTCAGCCATATGCTTGGCGTGCGTCTGCGTTGCCACTCCCTCGCCCAGCGCATTCAAGCCAGCCGTTGAGTCTGAAGCTGTTGCGCCTGCTGCTGCTGCTGCTGCTGCTGCTTCTGCCTCTGCCTCTGGCAAGACGACATATGCGTATGCATGCCAACAATTGTTGCCAAGCATCAGCAGGGTCGTAGTGGCCAAGGCGTAAATGAAGAACGCGTCACGTTGCATTTGTGCGGCTTTTACTGCGAATAGCTGCGTCGTGGTTTATTATTCTTATTTTGCCTCTGACTGTGAGGTCTCCGTTTTTGTTTCTTCTTATTTTGCCTTGGTCTTTGGTATTTGCTTTCGCTGGTGTCAAGGATTAGTGACGGTGTTGCAGTTATTGTTGTTGTTGTTGTGGGTGGTGTTGCTGTTGAAAATTGCCTGCAAGAATTTATAATGGTAATTAACATTTTGGCTGCCTTGAAGCGCCCCCGCGCGAGAAAAAATAATTCACAGAATCGGCTTGAAAACAAAAGATGCTGAGTAATAAAACAAAATGTCGACAAGTAACTAGGCAATACAGGCAATATGCTCGCCATGTTGTGGCACGTTGTGGTACTTTATAGTTAAGTGTATGTATTTGTGTTATTACTACTACTATTTTTGTTATTGCGTAGGTAGTCTTTCCATGCCGCTTGTAACCTACATTTCAGCTTCAATCTGTTTGTCGCCCGAAACTCAGCTTTAATATACGCATTTATGTACATTAGGATGCATCACTCTTCATACATATAAAGAAAAAACGGTACTCCTTTCCCATGGGATTTATAAAATGTATTATATTTTAAGACTTCCGCCGAAATATTTCGCTAAAATATTGAGATTTAAGGAGCTGAATCGATTTAAAAATAAATTTTTTTTTAAAATAATTTTTCTAAAAAATCACCTTAGGTGATTTATATTTTTCACTAAGAAATATCCCGTGTGCTTCACTGCGCCTTAAAAGTATTTTTGTGTTGTCACTCCATCCCAAAACTCTTATGGCTTCATAAAAAAAAAAAAATTAAATAGATTTGCAGAGCTTATGAAGCGAGATTTTCAAACAAATTTTCGATTAATGAAACATACTTTATTTTTTATGAATGTGGGTGTTGGTTAATACATTTTCGAAGGTATTGCATGAAAATTTAATTTATAATCTTATAACTCAATTCTACAAACTGTGCACTTTCTTCAAAGGTGTGTTAATTCAGTATTATCACTTTAACTAAATAAAATTTTTAAAACAGGTGGCAACCCGCTAAAATTTTTTTTCGATAGTAAACTTTCCTAAGCCTCTCTAGTTTAATACCCGCATTGCACTATTTCCTTTATTTCATCAATTTAATATTTGAATAAAATTTTCTAAGCAGGTGGCAACCCTAAAAAAACGTTTGGCAGTAAACTTTCCTAAACCTCTTTAGTTTGATACCCACATTGCACGTTTTAATTAATCCTATCAATTCAATCAAATTAAAATTTTCAAATGGGTGGCAACATTCCACAAAAATGTTTTTGCCTGTAACCATTCTTAAACATCTTTCTTTGGACAGCCATATTGTAATATTTACTTTAGTTTATCAATTTGCTTGCTCCAATTTTCAAACAGGTGGCAACTCTTAAATTACTTTTTCCCTAAACTTTAAGTTAGAACTTTAGCAACGCATCGGTGAAAACTGAATTAGAATGAATTTTCGAGTAATGTGCGTACAAACATACAGACAGTCAAACAGAAAGACATACAGACAGACAAAATTAAAAAAATTTTTGATTTGGCTTATGTTGTTCTAATAAAGACCCCCCCCCCCCCTATTAATTATTCTTTAATATCTATAATGATAGATAAAATAAATAAAATTTTATAATTTCGGTAGAAAACCGAAACTTTCTTCGTGAGCCATCCTAATGTACTTATGTATGTATGTAAGTAGAAGCACTGTTATTTTTATTATTGCTCTGTCCAGAGGAGCACCTAGGGAATATTGGGTGCTTACAGTTGTAAGAATATATCGCTGAAAAATATTGAAAGTTCTTTAAAATGTATGTACATTAGAGTGGACCAAAACGACATGGAAAAAAAGTTTAAAACGTTAAGCTCTCACCCCTACAATGTTTTTAAATGTAAAAAAAGATTAACTAAATTTTTTGTTAAAAAATATATATATATTTAGAACTGCCTCAAAGCCCATCAAATTTTCCACGTACATAAGATGGGGAAAAAGACTTTTTCGTAGAAATGGTATAGAATTTTTGAAAATCAATATTTTTCGATCGGAAAACCGTATTTCTCATTAGGGGACTTCCCATAAAAATACTTAATTTTTTATTAAACCATGGTTTAATATTAACTATTTTTTATAGGTCTCCCAAAAACCCGATAAATGCAATGAGGAGACCTATAAAAAATCGTTAATATTAAAAAATCGTAAAATAAACAATTGGATATTATTATTGGAAGTCTGCTGAAAAGAAACAGGGTTTCCCGATTCAAATATATTGATTTTCAAAAATTTGACGAAAAGGTGTTTTTCCCCATATAAAATACATGGAAAACTTCACGAGGCAATTCTAAGTATAATTTTTTAACAAAAAAAAAATACGGCTACTCTTTTTTTAATTTTTAAAAATGCTAGGTGGTGACACTTAAAATTTTTTTTTTATTTTGGAGCCCCCTAATGTACATTCTTATGCATTTACACATTTAAATACATATAAGCAAGTATATGTTCACCACACCGTACCTCCTTACAGCCCTGAGTCTAAAATATTTTTGCAAGGCAATTTCGAAAAAAGGTTTTTTTTTTTGGCCGAACCTAAGACCCTTCTCTTTTTCTGTGACACTTACATTCCATAATAATTTTTTTTTGTTTGACGAAAAATGTAACAAGGCGAACTGACCCGTATGTTGGACCAAACAATTTCGCTTCCAAAAATTTTTTTTTTCTGTTTTGGAACGAATGTACACACACACATATGCAAGTATACAAGTTGATGTACAGTTATTTATATTATTGTACTGTGTCTCACTGCTCTGTTAAATTTCCATGAAAACAGTTCACCGTAGGCTGGCTGCTGACTACTTTAAGCCTACAACTCACAAATTATTACAGCAAGTGAGCATTTTCTGCCTTGCCTTCCTTTCCTCTAACTCCTTCCTCACTCTTAATTAGTCTACTTGTTTCCGTATACGAGTATTTTTTTTGTGGTAATTAATATAAATGAGCTGTAAAAAGGCGTCTGCTGGTGGAGTACGCATGAATTAACTTCAGCGCTATATCTTCATTTCGTTGTTCGTGTTAAAAGCTTATGCCCTGTGCAGGCATTTCTGGTACACGGGGGAATGTCTTCTTGTGCAGGTACATATGTATATGTGTGAGTATGTACTTTTGTGGTTTTCAGGCTAATTTTGTGGCTAATTTGTTGTTTCAATATTTGTTGTTTTTGCGGATTTCCCTTCAAAGGAAAAGGGCTCATAATTTATGCTTTTGGTTTATTGTCAGTTGCTGAACGTGAGAGGCGGATACTTTTGGAAGGGTGCGTATTAGGGCGGGTCAATTTGTATGGGAGATTTTTTGGACATCTAATTCTAAGAAAATTTGCCCAAGAAACCTTGGGTCTGAAACTAATTTTTTCTTAAAACGTCCAACAGAGGGCAACAGTGAAAATTTACTAATTTTCTTCGAAAGCTATTTTTGCAATTTGGCAAACTCCTGGCTCTCGGAAAATTTGCTTAGAATTACACGTAGACTCCTCCTATAGTCAAATTTACCCGCCCTAGTGTAAATACTTATATATGTGACCTGCATTTGTACATTAGGGTGCCTCACAAAAAAAAATGCAGGTTTTTCACTGGAATTATAAAACCTGCCATATTTTAAGCCTCCCGCCAAAATATTTCGCAGAAATGTTAAGATTTCCGTGAGCTAGACCGCTTTGAAGCTACCTACAAAAATCTCATTATTTTGATTCCGTTAATAAAATGTAAAAAAAAATGTATGCAGACCTTTTGTGCTTAAACGCTTAAACTCTTCTATGATCTGAGATGATGTTTTTTAAAGAAAATTTTCTTAAATACAAATTCTATTTATTAGAAACTCGATTTTGGGAGGTAATTTCAAATGCGTCCAGCTCACCTTAATATTTTTTCCGAAATATATTAGTGCAACCCTTAAAATAAGTATAATCAATTGGACTGAGAGTGATGCACCCTAATGAATGAATGAACATGCATATGTATTTATACACACATGACAATAAGCCGCACACAGTGCTAAGGTGAATACTACCGCTTTAAGCAATTAGCGATAGCGATTCTTTCTCACTCTCGACTGCGAGAGCATTACATAATTCATTGAAATATTTATTTAGAAAAGAATTTTGTATTCAATAATCCTCTGCGGCATCAACTAATGATTTGTGGTCACTCATCCGCTCAGAGCTGCAATCTAATAGTTGTCAGATAAGCGTTAATTCAGCAAGTGAAGGAAAATGAGAAAAATAACTCTGCTAATAAATATTCAATGTTTCCTGGCAAGGTTGATGCTACCTAATTTGATTTTTTTTTCGTACACCAGAGCAAAGTGGAAGAACCCCCTCCACGCGTCGGCTTACTCCCACAACTACCAGCCATTTGAAATTAAGGTTCAAATGAAACCAAAGCAGAGAAACTCATTGGAAATTCCGTAAAATTTGTTACATATTCGTGAGTGAGTTGATTAGTGAGTTATTATCTTTCAATCTCTTCGCATCGCTGCAGAAGAGAGCTGGGTGATTTGTAACTACTACGCACGAAGAAACAGCTGGTATGACGACGAGTGCCGAATCGCTGCTGCAGAAAGTACGCAATATACTCAGCCAACCTGCAGCCAACCTGTGGTAAGAAAATAAATGGAGAAAACCAGAAGAGATAAGAGCTTGAGATATCGGTGGGTAGTATTGCGGCCAAAAAAATAATCTACCAGAATTAATCAGAAGCCTTCTCAACACGATGCTGTAAGTAATACTTACTGAAGCCCTTCATAAATTTTCACAATTCGTCAAATTCTGAAAAAAATCACCTTAAATTAGCAAATCGACACCTACCACATTTTCATCGAGTTTACAGCCGCTCTTCAGAGCACGCAGAGAACTTGTTTCGATGACGCTACGTCTAATTTTGGTATTCCAGTAAAACTAATATCAGAAATCACCCCAAATCTCTGCGGATGAGGCTACTATCAACAGCGGGTACCCGGAAAGTTTAAGCTGTTCTGCCATCGACCACAGCTCTACTCTGTAGGGAGCCTGTTGTACTTCAAAATACGGATTGCTAAATTCTAACAAGTATCAATACTAATAAACAGTAAGCGCTCTTGGCGTGCGTCCAAAAGCGCTCTTTCTGGCTACAAGAAAAGGTCGTGAAC